GATGTGAGAGAGACACATTGAGTGGTTGCCACCCACACAACCCCAATCAGGGCCAGGGACAACCGAGGTACGTGCCCTTGGCAGAACCAAACCTGGGCCTCTGTGGTCCACGGGCCAACACTCTAACCACTGAGCAAAACCAGCCAGAACTAGACTCCTTTATTTTTTTTTTAATCCTCACGTGGGGCTTTTTTTTTTTTGGTATGTGCCCCTAGCGGGAATTGAACCTGGGATTCTCTGGTCCACAGGCCGACGCTCAACCACTGAGCCAAACTGGTCAGAGCCATTTTTCCATTTTTTTGTTCAGATAGAGTGGGAGGGAGAGAGAGGAAGAGAGAGAGAGAGAAACACTGACATGAAAGGGACACATCGAGTGGCTGCTACCCGCACGACCAACCAGGGCCGGGGACAAACTGCAACCGAGGTATATGCCCTTAGCAGGAACCGAACCTGGGTCTCTCTAGACCGCAGGCTGACACTCTAACCACTGAGCCAAACCGGCCAGGGCCAGACTCCTTTTTTTTAACAAACTCAAATACTACTATCATACCTAACACAATTAATTTCTCAATGTTATTCAATACTTGGTGTTTATTCAAATGATTCCAATTATCTCAAATGGTCTCTGTACAGTTATTTGTTCAAATCAAGAACAAGCAGGCAAGATCCACACATTGCCTTTGGCTGATGTGATTCTTTGGTCTTCCATAATCTCAGGATACCTGGCTCTTCATTTTTAACCCAAGCTATTTATCTGTTGAAAACACTGAGTCAGTTGTACTGTCAACTTTCCCACTTTCTGGATTTCTCTGCTTGCATCCTCATGGTCTCTGTTCTTCTGATGATGATCTTCTACCTCCCATACTTCTTGTAAAGTGGTAATGAAATTTAGAGGTTTAAATACAATGAAATCCAAATCTTTTGCCAAAATTACATCATAGGTGATGCTTGGTACTTCTTATTGCACCCCTTCAGAGAACATATCTACCTTTCATCTGATGGTTTTAGCATCCACAGATTACTACCTAGACTTACTATTTCACTAGGGATTGCTAAATGATATTTAAATTTTATCATTCCTTCTGTATCTACTAGCTCAAATTCTTCTACTAGGAAATCAACATTTCCTTATTTGTTTATGCTGAAATACAGAATATACAGTAAAAGCAAAAAGCTTCTTTCCTTTTATTAAACTAGAAATGAGCTTTTCTACTGTTAAACCACTGAAAGTTTGAGGTTTACCTGTTATTTCTAACATTATTTACTTTAATATCCTAACTTTCCAATCACCAAGGTAAATCAGTAACATACAGATTTTCCAGGAAAGCATTGGCTATGAACCCAAAGTAGAAATGCTCCATGATTCAGGATGAACCCAGTAAACCAATCATTAAAGTTGAAAATGTATTTAAGACTTCTGGTCAAGATGGCGGCGTAGGTAAACGCAGTATCGCGTACTCCCACAACCACATCAAAGTTACAACTAAACTACAGAACAACCATCATTCAAAACCGCCTGAAATCAAGTTGAATGGAAGTCCTACAATTACGGAATTAAAGCAGCAGCCACATCCAGACTGGTAGGGAGGGGCAGAGGCGGCACCGCTTCGAGGGACTGGTCCCACACCCATGTGTGGCGGATAAAAATCAGGAGGATATCTCGCTGGGAAGGTCCTTCCTGAGGACTGAGGGGTCCCCCTTCCCACACCAGGTGCCCCGCTCAGGGTTCCAGTGACAGGAAGAGAAGTTCCCATAACTTCTGACTGGAAAAACCAGCGGGAACTGAGGCTCAGGGAGGTTGAAGCAGCTGGAGCCCCAGGCAGCTCCTTAAAGGGCCCGCGCACAGACTTATCGGACTCTCTCCCTCTAAGCTTAGAGGGGAGGCAGCTCGAGGGGCGCCAGAGACACACAGGGAAGAACTGAGCTGTTTAGCACTGGGGCGAGAGCTGGAGAGGGGGCTTTCTCCGGGACAAACGTGCTGTCAGAGGCCTTTGTTCCTTTGGTGAGCCCTTCCCTGGGGCGGCAGACAGAAGCCATATCTGGGACTCCAGCAACTTGGCTCACACTGGTAGCCCCGCCCTGGTGGTCCCCTGAGGCCCAGCCCCGCCCCACCCAACTTTCAGGCCCACCCAAGCTGTTGCCACTTGCTTAACCATAGGGTTGGCCTGTCTTGGATCCTGCTTCAAGTTTTCCTAAATTCTTTCAAACGAGCAGCATCTGGTCTCAGCTCGCTCCATACCTCGCGTTAAGTAATACACTGAAACAAACACAGGGAGGCAGCCAAAATGAGGAGACAAAGAAACAGGTCACAAATGAAAGAACAGAACAAAACCCTAGGAAAAAAACTAAGCGAAATGGAGATAAGCAACCTAACAGATGCTGAGTTCAAAATACTGCTTATAAGGATGCTCAATGAACTTAGTGAGAACCTCAGTGAACTTAGGGAGGGCCTCAAGAGCATAAAAAAGGATTAGTCAGAAATCATGGATGCACAGTTAGAATTGAAGGAGGCATTAACTGAAATAAAGAATAATTTACACAGCTTCAATAATAGAGTACGTAAATCCAAGGAGCAAACCATCGATTTGGAATATAAGGAAGCAAAAAATTCCCAATCAGAACAGAAAAAAAAAAAAAAGAATCCAAAAAAATGAGGATAGTGTAAGGAACCTCTGGGACAACTTCAAGCGTGCCAACATTCGCATCTTGGGGGTGCCAGAAGGAGAAGAGCGAGAACAAGAAATCGAAAACCTGTTTGAAACAATAATGGCAGAACACTTTCCTAACTTGGTGAAGGAAACAGACATACAAGTCCAGGAAGCACAGAGAGTCCCAAACAAGATGAATCCTAAGAGGCCCACACCGAGACACATCATCATCAAAATGCAAAATGTTCAAGACAAAGAGAGAATCTTAAAAGCAACAAAAGAAAGGCAGCTAGTTACCTACAAGGGAGTTCCCATAAGGCTGTCAGCTGATTTCTCAAAAGAAACTTGGTAGGCCAGAAGGGAGTGGCAAGAAATATTCAGAGTGATGAAAACCAAGAACCTACAACCAAGATTACTCTATCCTGCAAAGCTGTCATTTAGAATCGATGGCCATATAAAGACTTTCCCAGACAAGAAAAAGTTAAAGGAGTTCATCACCACCAAACCATTATTATATGAAATGATGAACGGTCTTTTTGAAGAAAAAAATAAAATATACGAACAAACAAAATGGCAATGAATACATATCTATCAACAATGGAATCTACAAAAAAAATGGACAGGTAGAACAGAAACATTCTCATAGATACAGAGAACATTTTGTTGGTTGCCAGTTGGGAGGGGGCTTGGGGGAATGGGTGAAAAAGGTGAAAAGATTAAGAAGTATAAATTCATTGCTAGACTGACAAACCTCAAAGGGAAAGGGGTTGGGGGGGGGAAATAAACCAAAGAACTTATATGCATAACCAATGGACACAGACAATAGTGTGGGAAAAGGCGGGAGGGGGCGGGAGTGGGGAGGAGGGGGTCAATGGGGAAAAAATGTGGAACATCTGTAATACATTTTACATTCAACAATAAAGATTAAAAAAAAAAAAAAGAAAATGTATATAACACTATACTGTAGAGTATCGGTTGTTCGCCCTCTTCATGGCATGGCTAACTAGGTTGTAGCTCACTGCCACTGCCCAGTACCACAAGAGTGTATCACAACACATGTTGCTAGCCCAGGAAAAGATCAAAATTCAAAATTCTAACTATAGTTTCTACTGAATGTGTATCAATTTCACACCATCCTAAAGTTGAAAAATCTTAAGTTGAACCATGGCAAGTCAGGTATCATGTGCAGTTAAAAAAAATTTTATCAGAGTAATAATAAAATATAAAACCTCCCAGTATTTTGCATATTGTTAGACAAGAGTACACAAAGAAATTAATTATACAAAATGTCCCTATACTTATACTTATAAAAATCTTTATTATTATCCACTTATATTTTTGAGTCCTATTTTGGTTAAAGTGGTATAGACTATCAGATAAAAAATAGGTCCCTTTGAAGCAGCATGGCTACTCTTAAGCTAATTAATAATACTGTCTGGTAAAGGACAGAAGGACGTATTAAAGAGTAAACAAGAACAGAACTTATATGCAAGTATGCATAACCAATGGACATAGACAGCAATGCTGGTGACAGGCGGGAGGGGAGGATCAGGAGGAGGGTGTCAATGGGGGAAAAAGAACCATCTGCAACAAAAATGAATGAAAAGTAAAATAAAGAGTAAACAAAGGTCGGAGGATTAAAGTAGGGGGTTGGGTTCTGGTAAAGGTCAAGACTCATTTTTGTAAAAAAAGACCAAAACTCAGGATGACCCTCCTTCCTCAGAACACCGATGTTGCTACACAGCAGAGGGCACAGAGCTTCAACTCATTCGTCCGCACCCCTACTGAGGAAGTACAGCCAGAAGCTTGAGACGGATTTCTTTACGATGTATTCCTTACATTTCCTTTTCGATAAATCTAACAATTTTATTCATTTTTGTACTCCCAGGATGCAGCATACTTCCTAGCATATAGTGCGCACTCTGGAAATGCTAACTGAATAGAGAAATGGGTGATACGGGCGTGTGGGTACTATGGCCGAGCGTGGTTTCAAATCCTAGTTGTGTGTGACCTTGGACAAGTCTCCTAATCACGCCAAAATCAATTACTTCACCAATAAAACAGGCATAGTACCACTTGTCTTGTTCATCTCCCGGGCTCCCTGAGAGGCTTTCCACAGGGGCAGCTGTGTTAAAGGACCGGACACACACGCAGGGTTTGGGGCGGGCTGTTGTGGAAGCTAACCTGTCTTACCATCTTAAATACGACGAGGTTTAGACTCGATGACGGTCCAGGGCCTATACTCTAATGGTAAGTCCGTTACAAGTTCGGAACCTCGGGTGTTCTCAAAAAAGTGAAGCTCAGGGGAAGGGACCGTCAAGGTCGCGGGGTCCTAAAGCGGGGGTCGCTCACCCAGTCAAAGTCACACGGGTTGCCGTCTTCGCGTTGCGTGGGGAGAGTGAGACAGACCGGGGGCAGCTTCCTCACGAGTAGGAAGGCAGCAGAGAGCAGGGCTGACAGAAGGTAGTAAGGTCGGGCCAGCCATCGTGAAAGGCGCGGCACTGAATACACCAGAGCAATCAATGGTGCCAGGACCGCCATCTTCCTGGCACGGCGGCGCTGGCCGCTCTCCGGCGTTGGTAGGCCTGGCCCCGCCTCTTCCACCATTGGGACGTCCATTGGGCCGAGTCTCGGATGCACCCCCTCCGGGCCCAGAAGTAGGTTTCTGATTGGATGCTACAGAAGGGACGACCTGAAAACGGATGTGATGTTTTATTGGTCCATCTAGCTGTCGTTTTTTCCACCTAAGTCATTTTATTGGCTATGTGACTGGCTAGAGACTAATATTACACATACTTCCTAGACGTACTCATCAAGCGACGGAAGTAGTTGCCGGAACGAGGTAGGTGGGTCCCAAAGCATCCAATGATAAGCGAGTCAAGGGGGAAGAGGGCGGGACACCGGGAAAGGATTGTCCAATGAAAATCACTAGCGCCAGACACCGGGATAGCTTCGGGGTAGAAGGAAAGATGGAGAATTTCACGGCGCTGTTCGGAGCTCAGGCTGATCCACCCCCACCTCCAACCGCACTCGGCTTCGGACCAGGAAAACCTCCACCCCCACCTCCTCCTCCTCCAGGCGGGGGACCCGGCACGGCTCCACCCCCCACCGTGGCCACGGCCCCTCCCGGTGCCGACAAAGCAGCTGGTTGTGGTCCCTTCTACCTAATGCGGGAACTGCCAGGTGAGTGCTAGGCCTGGCTGAAACCAACCAATCAGATCACAACGAGGGGGTAATGGGCGTGGTTCCTAGCAGGTTTGCAGGTGTGTAAGGTAACCTAGGCAACTCGTGCCAGGACCTTGGAGCTCCAAGTCTAAAGACATCTGTGCTACATCAAGAGTTGAGGAAAATAATAATGAAGATTGGTCCAGTACTTGGCAGTTCACAACGTAGTTATATGTGTAATGGAGTTTAATATATAGAACAGCCTCGTGAGGCAGGCATTGTTATCTGCATTTTATGGTTGAAAAAAACTTATGTATAGTATAGAGAGGTTGACTTTTCCTTTGGTTAGTTAGTGGTTTTATTTTTCTTTTTTTAATCCTCATCCGAGGGCATTTTTCCATTTTAGTTCAGTTAGAGTGGGAGGTAGAGGAGTATAGAGAAAGAGAAACATCCACGTGAAAAGGACACGTAGAGTGGCTGCCTCCGGCAGGACCCAACCAGGGCCGGGGACAAACTGCAACCGAGGTCCGCGCCCTTAGCGGGAACCGAACCTGGGTCTCTCTGGACCGCAGGACGACGCTCTAACTGCTGAGCCAAACCGGCCAGGACAGTTGGTAGTTGATCTGCACCACACTCTTTACCTATTCTGATTGCACCTATGTATATCAATCAGCTGGCACGTATTGAATATCTGTTTTAGGTAAATACTGAGTGTGTAGGAAGAAGAGAGGAAGACATAATGGTGAGATGAAGAACAAGATTAATAAGTCTGGTCCTTGCTTTTAAGGAAGTTTTTTTACTTAGGGATGAATATTATATGGTTTAAGGATAGTGACTATATTTCTTGTCAAGGCCATTCTCATTACTTTGTGGTCATGTCTCACATTACAACAACTAAGACCTACATGATGATTTTCAAAATATCCAAAATGACAGCACAAATAAGTTACCTAGATGAATTTATATTGATGAAGAATATTAGGAAGAATTTTCCTATAATCAGGTCAGTTTTCCTAAAAAGAAACACAGGAGGGGTGTTTTGGGTTTTTTTTTTCAGGAGATGATGGAGGCCCATTTGGATGGATCAAAAATCTTTCATATCCCTGGCTGGTTTGGCTTAGCTATTGGATCTTCCATCCGCAGACCAAAGAGTCTCTATTTCAATTCCCAGTCAAGGGCATGTACCTTGGTTGCAGGTTCAATCCCCGGGTCGGGGTAATGCAGGAGGCAACCAGTCAATGTATCTCTTACATCAATGTTTCTCTCTCTCTCTCTCCCCTTCCCTCCCACTTTTTTTTTTTTTTTTTTTTGGTGGTACATGCCCCTAGCAGGAACCGAACCCGGGACTCTCTGGTCTGTAGGCCGACACTCAACCACTGAGCCAAACTGTCCAGGGCCCTCCCACTTTTTCTTTAAAAAATCAATAGGTGAGGATTAAAAAAGAATTTTTTTTTATCCTCTCCCGAGGACATTTTTCCATTTTTTGTTCAGATAGAGTGGGGAGGGAGAGAGAGAGAAACATTGACGTGAAAGGGACACATCGAGTGGCTGCCACCCGCACGACCAACCAGGGCCGGGGACAAACTGCAATTGAGGTACGTGCCCTTGGCAGGAACTGAATCCGGGTCTCTCTGGACCGCAGGCCGATGCTCTACCGCTGAGCCAACCCTCCCACTTTTTCTTAAAAAATCAATAGAAAAATATTCTCAGGTAAGGGTTAAAGAATTTTTTGCCGACAATGTGGCTCAGTGGATTGAGCGTCCTCCCATGAACTGAGAGGTCCCAGTTCCATTTCTGGTCAGGGCACATGCCCAGATTGCCATCTCAATCACCAGTAGAGGGGATATACAGGAAACAGCCAATCAATGTTTCTCTCTCACATGGATGTTTCTGTTTCCCTTCCACTCTCTCTAAAAAATCAATAAAAACATTTAAAAAAAAATTTTTTTGCATAGGGGTTTGGTGGTTGACTAGGTCCCAAAACTGTTATAGTAAAATGTGTTTAACCATGAGTGTCAGTCAAAGGATTAAGATTTTCCCTGAGGATTACAGGAAACCTTTGATATTCTTGAACTGAGTAGTACTGCTTCTAAAAATGTCTGCGGGGGTGGGGGGAGTACCATGTATTGAAATAGAGAAACCATGAGTGAAGTGGGGAAGATTTGGAGTTTTAAAAAAAACAGAGTATCTGGCCCTGGCTGGGTAGCTCAGTTGGTTAGATTGCCCTCCCGATACGACAAGATTTCAGGTTCAATCCCTGGTCAGGGCACAAAGAAGAGTCAATAAATGAATACATAAATAAGTGGAACAAAGAGATGTTTCTTTTGCCTTTGCTCTCTCCCTCTACCCCCCCCCCCCAATTCTTTTCTCTCTCTAAAATAAACCAACCAAAAATCATAGTATCTGCATGAATTGACTTGCAGAAAGTTAGAAATGCAAGATCAGTTTTCAAGAGAGGAATCAGGGCTGGGGAGAGAAACTTCTAAGTCATCTTCATAGCTGATAGTCAGAAAGTTGGAATGACTCAAGTTAAAGTTTAGAAAAATGAGTATCTTCTCACCTGAGCCTTGAGGCATAACCACCTGGAAGGAGGAGCACCAACAGAGAGGGAGGGTAAAATCAGGATACTATAATAGCAGGAGGCAGTGCTGAGTTATGAGGAGAGGTACTGTGGCACTGTCTCCTGACATTAACAGTAGACCACTCTTCTGAGAAGTTTGACGTGAGAAAACAAGGAAAAGAACAGGGTAAGGCCTAGAGGTATAGGGAAAAAATACCTTGTTCATTTAATAGTTATTGAGCATCAGGTGTGTGTAGTTATTTTTATTCATTTTTTTATTGATTTTAAAGAGAGAGGAAGGGAGAGGGAAAGAGAGAGAGAAACATCAATGAGAGAGAACATCGACTGGCCACCTCCTGCATGCCCCCCACTGGGGATTTGGCCCACAACCTGGGCATGTGCCCTCACCAGGAATCGAACCAGTAACCTCATGGGTCCATGCTCAGCCACTGAGCCACACCAGCTGGGCTTATATTTTTAATGTTTATTATATTGTTTGCTTTTGCTGTTTTTTCTTTAAAAATAAATTTAAAATTTTTTGTAATTCTCACTTTAAAGATTTCTTATTTAGTGTGGCTGGTATTTAGTCCCAGTGGTTGAGCATCGACCCATGCACCAGGAGGTCGCCGGTTCGATTCCTGGTCAGGACACATGCCCAGGTTGTGGGCGCGATCCCCAGTGGGGTCATGCAGGAGGCGGCCAATCGCTGTACTCTCATCGATGTTTCTCTCTCTCCCTCTCACTTCCTTGCTTAAAAAAAAAAGGAAATAAAGGGAAAAAATTTTAAAGATTTCTTATTTACGCTAAAATATAGTACTTCACTTTCCCTCTGGGTCAGTGACTTAAAAAATTTATTGACTCTGTTTCTTTTTCTTTTTTTTAATTTATTGATGAGAAAGAGAGAAAGAGAAATACCAGTTTGCTGTTCCACTTATTTATGTATTTATTGGTTGATTCTTGTATGTGCCCTGACTGGGAATTGAACCCACAACCTTGGTGTATGGGACAATGCTCTAACCAACTGAGCTACTCAGCTAGGACTGCTGTTTCTTCTTATCCATGGAATGTGGTAATAACTGTCTCAAGTACACTGAATTTTTTTCAAGGTTCAAATGAAAACATGCTGAAAAGTATAAAGTATGATGTAAATGTAAGGCATTATCGGTATAAATATTGTGTGGCTGACTTCTTAAAATATGTCATTTTTCTCCCTATGTCCTCTAGGCAGCACAGAGCTGACAGGAAGCACCAACCTGATCACACACTACAACCTGGAACATGCCTATAATAAATTCTGTGGGAAGAAGGTGAAGGAGAAGCTGAGTAACTTCCTGCCTGACCTGCCAGGGATGATTGATCTGCCAGGTTCCCATGATAATAGCAGCCTCCGTTCCCTCATTGAGAAGCCCCCTATTCTTGGTGGCTCTTTCAATCCTATCACAGGGACCATGCTGGCTGGCTTCCGCCTCCACACTGGCCCGGTGAGTCCCCTCTTGGGGAGGAAGGAGGCAAATGGGGAGGTCTGAAAGGCATGGAATTAGTTTTTCTGTCCAACTCTGTTCTTTATTAACTTACTGAGCAGAACAGACATTGGGAGTAGGGGATTTGCTCCCTCCACTCACCTGGACCTTCCTTCGGTTCCTTTAGTTGCCAGAGCAGTGTCGTCTGATGCATATTCAGCCTCCTAAGAAGAAGAATAAGCACAAGCACAAACAGAGCCGTACCCAGGATCCTGTCCCCCCAGGTAAGCAGTTCTCTTCACAGCCAGAAAACCTGATGTTCTGAATCTGTTTCGACCTTCCTCTGTTAAAAGAAACACCAAGTTCCAATACAGAGCCCTGGACTCCCAAATTTTCCTGAAAGAAGAAACTGATGTACTGGGGTCTCCTGGGCAAATAGGACCTTGAAACAGGGCCTTTAGCAGTGCCTCTATATCCTGTCTGGCCATTTGAACGAAAGCACTTGCCCTTGACTAGGAGTTTTCCTGTAGTCTGCCGAGTTCTAGGAGGAAGGAATTTTGAGCTCTACAGTTGATAGGTGCCTAATGTCTCCAACAGAAACACCATCTGATTCAGATCACAAGAAAAAGAAAAAGAAAAAAGAAGAGGATCCTGAACGGAAAAGGAAAAAGAAAGAGAAGAAGAAAAAGAAGGTAAAGTAGGGGCCTGTTGCTGCAACCAGTAAGTTTCCCTCTTGTCTCACCCCAGCCCTAGGTAGAGTCCTTGGACCCACTATTGAAAACCCAGGGCAGGTTGCAGTTTTCCTATACAGCCCTGGTCAAGGCCAAGGCTACCTTCTAGTTGTTCTTGTACCTCTCCTTTGTCTTCCCCAGAACCGACACAGTCCAGACCACCCAGGTATGGGCAGTTCTCAGGCCAGCAGCAGCAGCAGCCTCCGCTAACAGGACCACTGGACTCTGCCAGAATGACTTTTCCATGCTGTACTGAACCTGCTGTCAAAAGCTGCCTTCCTGGCTCTTGGATATTGCCTTAGGAGCATCCCGTGGCTGGAACAGAAGCCAGTCCTACATGCTCAGTTAAGAGTAATGCATTATGAGAAAGGCCATGCTTTTGTAAGGCTCAGTCTAGCTTTCTCATGGACATCTCTTCCTCTCCCAGGAAGCTTTCATCTCTTTTGTGCATTTTGTCTGATTTAGAACCTTATCTGATTTGTTAGGGTTTTTCTTTTTAAAAAAATTTGCATTTATCAAACTGGCTGAAGTATGGCTGACTGTTAAGAGGTAAGTGCCTTTCTGTGAGTCAGGGTTTAAGCCAAGGCATACTAAGATCTGGGGGGAATTTGAATCTTATATTACATTATCTCATCAGTAGGCAGGGCACCAACCAAAAATGAGATTGGGGAACATGGTCCAAAAGTTAGGCAGAGCTTGGTAATACCTTTCCATAGCAGACACACCTGATTGATCTTCAGGCTCCATCTGAAGAGCTGATCCACTTGGGGGTCGAGTGTATTCTAGGTGAGTTTTTGTGTTGAAACAGAATAGCTGAAAAAGCACCTATAATCACCACTGTACTTCAACAGGTTGATTCTTGGTCAAGCCCATGATTTTTTTTGTAGTGAATATCTGGCAAGCAAAGGTAAATACTTCTCTTGCCTTTATAATAAGAACTTTGGACCTGCCTCATTCCTTAGTTAAGACAAAGTATTTGGCTGTTGTGAAAACATCTTTAGCTTCTAAGACAGCAACAAAATGTAAAATTAAGTCCCTTCAGTCTTTGCAGGCCAGGTAACTGAAAAATCTGAGAAAGCCCAGCCTAATGTAATCTGACTTGAAAGAATAGTTTAAAAATGTTGCTATGAGCTAAGGTTGTTCGTAGATCATTAGGCAGAAAACCCCTCATTTAGCTCGTTTTAATCTAGGATTTCAGAGGAGTCTATATACTTAAGTTACAGACAGTGAAAATAAAGGGTTCTGGCCAGTTTTGAGATTCAGTGTCCAAGGATGCCTATTAAAATTAGGGCACAGCCTTTTGCTTTCACAAGTAGAAGACAAAATATGAGGCACCGAATTGAATTGCCACCCATATGTATAGGTGGCCTTAAACAGGGCTTTCATGCTTTGATTATCCAGTCTCCCCTTTGGCTACATCCAAAATGAACTTTATTTCCCAGAGATAATTCTGTATTAAGGAACAAGTGTGGCACATGTCAAGAGTTCTCTAAGCTTCAAACTTTAGTGGTTGTAAACCACTCCCCCCTGCACCCCCAGGAATTCTTAGATTAAATCACCAAAAACAAAACAAAACAGGGCCTGTTGTCTTAAGTGGTTATTTTCACCATAGTCCTGCCTAAAGATGGGTCAGGACCAGGAAGCTTATGAGGTTTTCTTTGTAGTTCCCCACCAGAGACCATTCACCCTGCCTTAACCAGACAAAATAACACAAGTCAGGGGGAGCTGGTTAGATCAGGATTTCTTTTTATTCCTTGTTGGTTTAAAATGGCTAATCAGAATAAAAAATAAAAGGGCCTCTATCTAGAGGCTGGGATCTCCCCTATTTAGAGGTTAGAACCCAGGTATCCCCTCTACCCAGCACCATATTGAGGTGGGTTGAGGGGTAACCAAGAAGGGACAATTGGAGGGGCCTAGGCCTGCCACTCCTTCTCTCTATCCCGTTTTTGGCATGTGATGAAAAATATTGCTTTTTGGATTCTTCTGGCCTTGGATTTAAAAATGTTAACTGTGTGAAATAGGGGAATTCTTTGAGGGGCTAACTGAAGAAGCCCACCCCACCCTAATCCTTCTTCCCCAAGAAGAGAGGATTATCCAATTGTTTCCGGAGCTTGGCCAAGCTCCTTTCCTGATCTCCCCACCACCAAAAAAAAATCATGGGGCTGTGACCCCTTTCCTGGGGAAACTTAAGTGCCAATGAGCCTAGAAAACTAACTCCTCTCCCTCCTCTGACCAAGACCTCAGACTCGCCTCTCCCCGGTTTCTTTCCTGATCACTTAGCACCAACAACAGGGGGTGCTATTTTCTTAATTGGTAATGGACAAAAGAGGGAACCCTGGGGAAAAGGAAGACTTCTATCCACATCTTCCCTGTTTTCCTGCTGGTCCGAGGAATGGGAAGAGTAAGATCCTCTCCTTAAACATATCCCTCCCTCATTTTCCCGTCCCAGGATAGATATATAATTTCTTTGATATTTATAATATATATATATGTACACACACACCTGGTAACGCAGAAGAGGAAAAAAATAGAATCCGTAACAATAATAAAAAAAATTATTTCTGGTTTAAAAATGATCTGGTTCTCTCCAGGGCGAGCAATTGCACAAATGTCCACTGAGTCTGGTCCAGGGGTAAAGGGAAGGGAAGGTCTTAAAAGGTAAAGGGGGTTGCTTACCCCGTTCTCAGGGCCCCAACTCTCCAACTCCCCAACCCCATTGCATTTTATAAAACGCTCCTCCATCCTCTTGGAATCTGGTTCAAAAAATGTCCATGCAGAGGAGGGAAGCCCCTTGAGGAAAGGAAGGTGGCCAGCTAGGGGGCCCTTTGGTGTAGGCGCGGAGGTGTGGGGGAGGGGAGGTGCCGAAGGCTCACACCGAAATCTCATAGGTGGTGCCACCTACTCCTGACACCTTCTTGACTCCTCCCCTTGTGGGGCTACTGAGAGGTGGCTGGCCTGGGCCAGGGGAGGCTGAGCCTATACTCTTGGGCTGGCCATTTGATTTGCTGTAGGCGGTCTTGAGCTGTACTTCATCTCTGGGAAGAAAAGAAGAGAGAGGTGTCAGGAAGTAGGACACAAAACACAGAAAAGGGAGATAGTTTTAAAAGTCGAGAGAAAAAAGATGTACTTTTCTCTATACATACTTTTTTTTCAGTGTGATGAACAATTTTTAATTAAATAGTTTGTGGTTTGTACTTCGTACACATATACTTTCTTACCCAAACATTCCCTTTTGTTTTATTGCCCTACTTGAAACAAGCCCGATTCCCTATCTCCATTTTATTTCTTCTCTCCAACTGCAGCTATCTTGTATATTTACAACACTCAAATAAATTAATTTTTAGGAAGATGGGATTAATAAAAAGTATTAAATTTCAGTCTCTTAACAGGAATGGCCCAGGAAGGCAGCTGGAGTGAAAATGAAGAGCTATCCACAAGCAGGATAACCCTGGGTACATTTGTGCTAGAACCTACAAGGGCAGTCCTGATACCTTCTGTAGGGCAGGATGCTAATTTTAAGTCTGCTGAGGGCTAGGATGGACTACTTACTTGGGTGTCAGTAACGGCTGCAAGGCCACTTCTTCTGTCTCAGAGACACTAGGTGGGGCTTTTTGGCTGCTGTAAGACATAGATCGGCCAAGGTATGGAGCAGTTGGGCCTGACTCAGGGGACCCTAGTCCCCGGCCCCTTAGCCCATCTGGCTTGCCAAAACGGGGCGCAGTTGGACGTCCCAGTGGAGTCTTGCCCAAGGGTGATCTCTTCGAATCGTCTGAGGAGGAACTAGTACGAGGGGCATGGCCTGAGCCTGGTGTCGACTGAATGCCTGAGTCCCCCAAGCCTGGTTCTTCCTCTCGGCCTGGGAGTGGGGGTGACTGGCGTAGCAACTTCTCTCGTTCCTGGAGGGAGGCCACAATATGGCGCGACAGATTGTCGTACCGGACTGGTGAGGGCTCTCGGTGTGCTGGGCCGGTTGGCACCAAATGTGGGTGCCTCTCGGCTTCCCGTTGCTGGGCCAGCCGGGCTGACAAGAAGGGAGAGGTGTAGCCTAAAGGCGTGTCTGGCTCAGGTCCTGCCTGCACTGACTCGAAATCAGGGCTGTCTGAAGGAGTGAGCAGGCTGTCGTAAGATAGGCTTCCATTGCGTGTCTGGTTGGCCAGGCTCTTATAGGAGGTGGAGGTTGTGCCCTCTGAACGAATGGACTGCAACTGGCCCAGCTCAAAGCCTGTGCCCTGGGCTGACTTGAGGCTGGAGGAGCGTGAGCCACTGGACAGTGGATCGAAGTGAAAGCTTTTGCCAAAAGTGGGAGAACGGAAGCTCTCTGGCTCCAAGCTGGGCTCTGAGCGGTAGCTGGGATGGCGGCTGCTCTCTGCAATTGAGGTTGGCTCCTTCAAGCTGTCACCACGACTCAACTGGGAAAAAAAGTAAAGCAGACTCTTAGTGCTGCTCCTCATGTGACACATGCTAGGCCCCAGAGCCCATGCAGTCAGTCAAAAATAAGACCTGTTTAGAACATTTGCCTGCATTATCTTGTTCAACCCCTAAAGCAAATCTATGAGTTGGAACAAATACCACATTTTAAGATGCAGAAAATAAGACTTAGGTTAAGTAACTTGCCCATGATGGGTTTTAAACTCAGGTATTACACTTAAACAGTGCTTTTATCTATTATACTACATTGCCCCCATTTATGAAGTAACATCAAGGAGATTCAGTCCCACTAACACCAACAATTAGTAAAATGCCTCTGATTTTCTTCTCTTCCCTCTGCCTCCTCCTTCTCTTCTCCCAATCTTCTTTTTCCCAGAACAGGTGGCATACATTACCATCCTACTTGTTAAAGAACTCAGTACCTTGGCGCTGGAAGAGTGGGGCATGGCGGCTGATGTGCTGCTGCTACTGTAGCCTGGCCGATACTTGTACATGGTAGGTGTAGGGGGGCTGTCCTTGCCCAACAGGCTGCTATCTGTAGGAAAAAAGGCCCAGGGAGCACCACTTTATAAGCTGCTCTCTTAACCTGGCTAGAATTCCTTAAACTACACAGAGGAGAACAAGGTAGAAACAGATATACTCGGCCAAGGGAAAGCCTTAGGAATATGATTTTGCTGAAATCAAGACTTAAGATTCCTATTAGCTCAGAACTCAGAGTGAGAGAATGCACCAAACAGGTCTAGAATGCTGTCTACAGCTGATAGTTCCCCCACAAATGTCCAATTCACTGCCAACAGCTAAGTGGCATTCCTTTCTCCAGCTGTCCAAAGTAGTGGCTCAAGTGCCACCTATTTGGTGTTCTCATTTACAACACAAGCATTAACTCCTAGCCCTTGCCTGTCTGTCTTCTCTACAGTTCAGTCACCATCTCACTCCTGCCACAGCCCTTACCCTCATTAGTAGCCAGGTTGAGGTGTGTTCGTAGCCCTGTGTAACGGCTCAGGTCCGGTTTAGGAGGTGGTGGAGGTTCAGCATCTGCGGACTGGCTCTCTGTAATCTCCAGGCTTCCCTTAGACTGGATAAAGGAGGGCAAATC